AACACCAATGATGGAAGTTATAATTTGACGGCTTTCAGAAGGCTACAATTTGAAGACTTTCACGTAGATTGGTGAAGGTTACAATTTGACGACCTTCGCAACAACTGATGAAAGCTCTAATCAACAACATTCACAATCAACACCAGGAGTTACAATCTAACGACTCTCATATTTTCAAGGAGCCAAGTCGAAGATTATAAGATGACGGTCTTTGCAACGCTCTAGCAAAAGAGACTACAAATTGACGATCTCTTCAAATCAAAAAGCAAAGGTCATCCCTACATTACACCATCAAAATATAGAGGTCATCCCTGTGTTACAACATCAAAACGCAGAGGTCATGCCCACGTTCCAGAGTCAAAACGCAGAGGCCATCCCCAGCATTCAAGTCCAGACGCAGAGTTCGTGGACTCAAAACGCAGAGCTCATGCAGAGCCCAACTCTACGTCTTAGGTCCAAAACACAGAGTTCATGCAGAGCCCAACTCCGCGTCTCAAGTTCAAAATACAGAGTTCATACAAAGCCCAACTCTGTGTCTCAGGTCCAAAACGCGGAGTTCATCTCTGCGTCCCAACCAACTCTACGTTTTAGATTTACAACGCAGCACGACCTGTACGTTCAGCCACCAAAATAGGCCCAACTCTGCGTTTTAAGTCTAAATCGTAGAGTTCGGGCCCTGTATGATATTTTTCAGCGTTTGACTCGTTCAAAGTACGAACTGAACGGTTTCAAAACCGTTTTCCCCACGATTTGAGGAGCAGTTTAAGGGAGCGGTTACACCCCACTCATCCCCACTTAGGAGCGAATTAAGGGGGTGGTTATACCCCTTAATCCTTTATAAATAGCAGGAAACTCAACTGAGTTCGGGCTCGGGTTTTGGGCTCGGGGATTGATCCTTCGTCCTTCAGCTTGGCAGTAAAGAAGAGATCTTCGGCGGGCTTTTTGGGGGGAATTGCTGGAGCTTTGGAGATCAGAAACAGGAGCTTTCATCAAACTTGGCTTACAAACCAATCTCGGTTAAATCAACTCTTTCATAGAGTTTCAAACTTATTCAGAGTTTTAAAACTTGCCACGCAAGTTCTCCACAACGTCAAATCATGAGGAGAAGACCACGTTCCAGTGAAACAAGACATTCGGATCGTCAACGAAGAGCAAACTCGACGCGAGCATTCGAGGGAGCTATTCCATCGCCATCGTGAAGAACCCAGACTTAAATAAAGGGGAGAATTCAGATCAATTCTCTTCTCTTTTATAATCGGGAATTTAAATTATAATTGAGATTGAGAGAATAAAAATCAAATTCAATTCTTTCATTGTCTTATTGCAAATTTTCCACCAAACAGGTTCATATGTAGGTTTATGAAAAAAAGAGAATAACAGAAGCGAAATGGAAAATTGAGAAGCTATTTCTCAGTATTGCTCCTCTTTGATGACGAGTGGATCTCAGTTGGAGGCTTTTACTCTTGAGTAAGCTTTAGAATTTTCAGATAGATCTTGAAAGATGAAATTTTCAAGTAAATCTTGGGAGATGGATTATGAAAGATCAAAAAGCATTTTAGGTATTTTTCTAATTTTAATTAATTTTGATTAATTGTCACGACATGCATATTCCGCCTTATTTTATGTCATGTTTCCAACATAATCTTTGCTATTCTTGGTTGATTCATGTTTGCATTCATTCATTTCTAATCTCACATTTAATCTTGGACTTGGGATTCCCTTTTTGGTTCCCAACGTGACCAATATTTTGATATAGTGATATATGAAATGACAATATTGGTAGTGAGGTATGACTATCTTTGTTTTCCCATACATTACAGAGAAGATGAATTCTCTACTTTAGTACTTATTGCTCATCAGATCACATCTGACTTTCGTCTAAGGCGACAACCATGAACCAGAATGGAGCCACCAAAAATATGGATAGTTTCTTTTATACACAATATTACTATGGTGATGGATAGTTTCTTTTATACACAATATTACTATGGTGGTGTAAAGTTAGAAATATATCAAACTTTCATCCAAATGGCATACAACATTGGGCTTACCTTGTTTTTTTTTAAAATGTTTTCGGGCTTGGCCCAATGTGCCTTTTCCCCATGATATTCAGTATTGGCATATGCTTAAGCCCTCTGGAATTAATATAGTTGATTTCAAGCCAGTACCAAGCTTGTTAGCATTACTTATAATTTGGACTATAAGCAGGGTTAATAATTATAATCTAAAAGTAGATCGTAATTTGGGCAGAGCCAAAACAAAGCTAAGAAAGTTCTTTGTTTTTCCTCCTTCCTCTACTTTC